GACAGGATGGCCTTGATCTCCTGACCTTGTGATCCGCCCACTCGGCCTCCCAGAGTGCTGGGATTACAGGCGTGAGCCACCGCGCCTGGCCAAAACTACAAAATTCTTAAGAGAAAATATAGGAGTAAATCTTCGTGACCTTGGGTTAGGCAACAGTTTCTCAGATGGGACATCAAAAGCACAGGTGACAAAAGAAAAAGGAGATAAATTGTATTACATCAAAATAAAAACAAATGTGCTGCAAATGATAACATCAAGTGAAAAGATGATCCATGGAATGGGAGAAAATAGTTGCAGATCGTATATTTAGTAAGGGACTTGTATCCAGCATGTAAAATGAACTCTTATAATTCCACATAAAAAGACAAATAACCGAATTTTTTAAAATGGGCAAAGGCTCTGAAGAGACTTTTCTCCAAAGCAAACAAACAGTCAACATGAAAAGATGCTCAACATCACTGTCACTAGGGAAATACAAATCAGAACTATGAGATACCAATTCACGTCCACTAGGATGGCTGAAGTCAATGTGAAAGACAGTGAGAAACAAGCGTTGGTACGGACGTGGAGAAAGTGAATGCTCATACACTGCTGGTGGGAATGCGAAATGGCACAGCTGCTTTGGAAAATGATTTGCTGGTTCCTTAGAATATGAAATAGAGGTTCCACATGACCCAGCAATTCCACCCGTAATGATATACCCCAGAGAATTAAAAACACATGTCCAAGCAAAAACCTGTACATAATGTTCACAGCAGCATTATTCATAATAGGTAAAAAGTAGCAACAACCCTAATGTTTATCAACTGATGAATGAATGAACAAAATGTTGTATATATGGACAATGGAAGGTTATTCAGCAAGGAAAAGGAAGCACTGATACATGCTACATTGTAGATGAACCTCAAAAACATTATGTTAAGTGAAAGACACCAGTCACAACAGACCACAGACTGTATAATTCCATTTATATGAAATGTCCAGAATGGCCAAGTCTATAGAGACAGAAAGCACACTGCTTGGAGGAGCAAACAGTGAGTGCCGTTTGGGGGAGAAAATGTTCTAAAATTATATTGTAGTAACAGTGGTTGCACAATCCTGGGAATATTCTAAAAAACACTGAAATGTATACTTTAAATGGGTGAACTGTATGGTATCTTAATTATACTTCAGTAAAGCCGTTTTAAAAAAAACACATATTTCAAGTTGACCGATTTCATACCTTTCTTTGGCCTCCTTGAGTGCAATTTCAAGTCTCTCCACCTTCTGATTCCCTTCCCTTAGGCACAGCAGGAGCTGGCTCACAGTTAACTCCTCATGTTCCAAGTAATTCTTGGCCCCCTCTGCAGATCTGCTCCTATATTTAGACAATGCCATGGTCAGTATAAAGGTTAAAAGGTTTTCATCAGAAAAATACCAAAGCCTAAGAACAGAGTAACCCAATATAACTGGGACCAGCTTAAGGGAACTGCTTTCCAGAACATTCTCCAACTAATTCTCAACTAGTGAACAAGCACAGCTGGTCCTGGGACCCCCAGTGCCAAGCTCCTCCATGCTTCCTAGGGAAGGTGTGAGGACTCAGTGAGGCTCCGGAGAGGCCAGCCTTACACTGCACACACCCACTTCCTCCAAACAGTCACTGTGTACCTGACACCAGACCACAAAACCCACGGAACAGTTCAGCAGAAGCAGCCGTGGCTGAAGGTGGCAAGCCTTCCAGAGATCTAGTCTCAAAGGGGACTGCAGTCAGACAAAAGATAAAGGCACACTGTACAGACCACTGGCCTTTCTCCAAGTTAACAGAGACCATCACAGCTTAAGTCAAGGGGAGAAAACCTTTTTCACTTGTGGTTTCAAATAATGAGAGCAGAGAAACGGAGGCGCTATGATATGTCAAGTATTTTTCTCAATTTCAAAATCTGACTAAATCAAGAGACATATCAGTGACAAACAAAATCATGATCAATGTTACAAAACATGAGGGATGACTATGATGATGCTAACGGCAGCTACTCTGAGTCACCAACTCGGGTTCACATAGCTAATAAACAGCCAGAATTAAATCCCAGTTTCCAGGACTCTGAAGCTCCAACTCCAAACCTAGAAATCAATCTCAGAGTAATTACGATACTCACAAATGGTACAGAGCTGTTATTTTAAAAATAGCCATGTGGCTTAAAGAGGAAGTGGTCTTTGCATCTGGATATGAATGATGAGGAAGTGGCTTTGAAATTTCAACCAGGACTTTTTTATTTGCCACTACTTCCAGGAACGTCTTTGAATATTAAAAAAGCAATTTGGGGGAAACGTGAAGAATTTTTAACCAAAAAAGGGAATTACTTTCGTTTATGCCAATTACTCTGACGAAAGAATATTATCTAATACTTACTTTCTTCCTCATACAAGGGCTTAGAAACATAATAGAAGACAATTTTTTTCACATTTTGGAAGTCATTCTATATGCACATTCATCAAGTTACACAAAGAAGGTTTTAAAAATCTATCAGATGGCCAGGCGCAGTGGCTCATGCCTATAAATCCAGTACTTTGGGAGGTTGAGACAGGCGGATCACTTGAGGTCAGGAGTTCAAGACCAGCCTGGTCAAAACGGTGAAACCCTGTCTCTATTAAAAACACAGAAAGTTAGCTGGGCGTGGTAGCAGGCACCTGGAGTCCCAGCTACTCGGAAGGCTGAGGCAGAAGAATCGCTTGTACCTGGGAGGCGGACGTTGTAGTGAGTTAAGATTGCACCACTGCACTCCAGCCTGGGTGGCAGAGTGAAACTCCATCTCAAAAAAACAAAACAAAACAAAACAAACAAAAAAAACTATGAGATAAGAGATCCTCAGAGATCTTTTCAGACAATCGTCTCTTGAATAGATGATCACAGGGGTAAGCAGCTTGCAGAAGGCAAGCTAGCAGTCTCCTTGGTGAGCACTGCTTGTAAGAGTCAAGAGGTTCAGGCACTCAGTTCTAGGTCTGCCTCTCTCCCCAAGGCCCTGCCACTATTTAAGACATCTGTTTCCTCACATCTACATGGGACAGGTACACTTGAGACTCCACAGATAAGAAATCTGGGTCCTTTCAGGCGACATCCACGTTGACTGAGAGTGCTATCAGTCATTGTTACAAAAGATGTTCCAGTATTGGTCATGCCAGCTTATAACTGGGGAGTAGCAGGGAAAAGAAAATGAAAATATTTCACTTATGGAAGCTGGGCAGGCTGGTCTGGGTCAAACGGCACTGGGGAACCAATGAGCAAACATGTCTCATTGGTTTGACTGAGAACCAGTTTGCTTTCACTTTTCGTCTGCTGGTGAGACACCACTAGAACAGTACAGTCAGTGTGGGCCAAACGGGAATCAAACAGTTTTTAATCTCTGCCAGCTTGAGCTGCAACATTAAATAGCATTCAAACCAAATATTCTTGAAAGGTCCTGGTATAAATCATAAAGAAGTTACTTCCTCAGGTCACTACATTTGACCTCCAGTGACAAGCACCCAGTGATAAGCTCCCCGTGACAAGCCTGCCCAGCCGGTCTGCCTGGCAGCCCGAGTCTTCCTTCACATACGTGCCAATGGAGACTGTTCTCGTGGGCCCAGGACTATGCTTGATTTCTTTTACTGACCCTTCTGCTTCTCCTTCCTGTAAAAACAGAAACCCAAGGGATTTAACACAATACGTCTGCAAGACAAATTGTCAAAAGCAAAAAAAAGACAAAAGATGAATTTTTGTGACATGCAACCCAAGGACCCTTCCAGACATTCAGATGTGTAGTGTTTAAACCGGGTGGCTCCAGTGGAATGGAAACGTACCCTCCCCTCACCTGGCGCACCCTGTTGGGATTATAAATATCCCGGCTACGGCGTGAAGGTCAGTTTCCTCTCGCCATACACATTCTACCCGACTCCGTAAACATGAAAGCTTATCTGCTCCTCCCTTTCCTTGGCAGTTCCCTCTTTCTCAAGGTTAAGGTCATGGAGAGCTGGTGACAACTCCACATAGCCTTCTCAGACAGTCCTTTAAAACGCAAAACGCTAGAACTCACTGAGGTAAAGTTAAAAAAGAGGCAGTTTCTGTGAATGAGATTCACAAAGCGCCATCTTGGCCAAGTTGGTTCCCGTTAGAAATTTGTATGCACCGCAGGTCACTTAGGGAACAAGAAGTCCAAGACCCACAGGATTTGAAAGACATTTATATTCCATTAAGTTCCCAGGGAAAATCTTCAAAAATGCACAAAGATGGTTCCCTATATATATGCATATAAATATATATATTTAGATACATATTTAGATATAGAAATATAGATTACAT